ATGTATTCAAATACCTCCTTGTTTGCTCCAGATCTTCCTGGAGCCCTCCGTTCCAATACTGGATGGCTGTTTGAAATGCATCCTGTTGAGCTGCCTGGCATGTCCACCGTTCCTACCCGCCACTTGCTCTGAGATCAGAACAAGGTGCCCAGCCATATGATAGAGACTGGGTGCCCTGTTCTGACCTCAAAGAGAAGCAACTTGGCAGAGGCACCGGGTGGCTAGGCAAGAAGTGCATCCCATAGATAAATCACTTGGCATTAGAATGGAGGGCCATTGTAATGAGAGAGGATCAGAACAGCTCTGGAGTCAGGATATTTCCAGGCTGGCCCTGGCCAGTGTGGACAGGATCTTAGTTTATCTACACAACTATCAGGGTGAGTGCCATTTTAGACTTCTAGACTTTTAGACTTCTAGCAAGACAATTCAGACGGTCCTGGCCAAGACACATACAACCAGTGATTCCAGATTACCGTGTGAAGCAAATTGAGAGTAGGGAGGTTGCCTATCAAGTTTAGTAAAGGACAACACAGCATTGGGTGGGAAAATGGGAAGACAGTGGTGATGGTGTCGATGCTGGTGATGAACAATGCTGAGACAACCTTTTGTTTTATTGAATTTCTTTCTGTGCAAAATGGTGTCAACTCTCTACAGTACTCACAGCTCGCTTGGCCAAAGAGAACCCGTTCCAGGGACTCGTGGGAAAAAACCTTCTAGAAGGAGTAGTTGGAGGAAGCCAAGGAGAAGGTCTGCTTGGAGGTAGTCTGGTTGGGTAAGTGGTCTACTATCAGGTGGGTGAGGGGAGCCAAGTTGCACTTTCAGGGCCATCTACACAAGAGGAACATGGGCCTTCTCTGTGAGCTTAAAAAGGGCTCTTCAACGAGGGGCCAAAGTGATATGATACTCCTGGACAAACAGCATGCTTACCATTTCCTCTGCATAGTAGCGACTGTCCGGTGACTGTCCACCCCATGTGAACTGATTGTACGCTCTGTTACCATGTTCCAGGTTTTTCTGCAATTAGGAGACCCTCTGTAGAGTAGACTGAACATTGATATAGGAAGAGTTCTGTAAAACAAGGTTTGGAAGATGGAACCTTATTTAGTTTGGACTCCCAATCAAAGCATCCCCAAGCAGAGGCTGGATGGCCATCTGTCGGGGATGCTTTGATTGGGAGTTCCTGCATGGCAGGGGGTTGGACTGGATGGCCCTTGGGGTCTCTTCCAACTCTATGATTCTATTCTATGATTAGTTCTGGAAACTGTAATGTGAAGGGTCTGGAAACCATGAAGCCCTATGAGGAGTGACTTAGGACGTTATCACACGGGGAGTTGCGGGGAGAAAGTGGAA